TTAAAGAGTCAGTTCTGAGCGCGTCTGTCTGTGTTATCAGCATCAATCCCCCAAGCCCCACTCCCTGGGTGAGGGGCCACCTCAGGAAGCCTGGCTGGGCACAAGGGCAGAGTGGGATGGCAAAACTCCATCCCAGGATGAACTGAAGCTGAAGTCCAGGTTCATCACGCATCTGGGTGCCCATGTCAGCATTCTAGACACGAGTGAACCGGGCTGAGGAGGAGGAGGGCGGGAGTGTGGATGGCAGGAGACGTGGCTCTGTCAGGAAATGAGCTTTGCCAGCTAGTCCTGCCTCCTGGGAGTAGCCAGGCTTTGGTTGGGGCCCCGAGACACCGAACTCCTGAGAGGAGGCAGCTGAGGATACAGCAGCTCCCTCCTGGCTCCTTATCTGCCGCCTGCCGTCAGTCAGCCCGCTGCAGATAAGCCAGGGCTGAGAGCCGTCTGGGCCGGAGCCACCGGAAGAAAATAATTAAAAAGACACCGCTTGCAGTAAGGAGGGTATAACTGAGTGGTAGACTGTGTGCTTAGCATGCACGAGGTCCTGGGTTCAATCCCCAGTACCTCATTAAAATAAATAGTCGAATTACCTCCCCACCCTTACAAAAATTAAAAATAAAGCTAAAAATTTTTTCTAAAAGACACACTGGCCCTGCAGAGGAGGCAGGAGCACCTGGAGATCCTGAGGATCCTAGCATCCTGGCTTGGGGTGTTCCCTTCGCGGAGAAAAGGCAGAGTAGTCAGCACTCGGTAAATAGCCTTGCGAACACGTGGCAGCAGGCTACCGGCGCACGGCAGCTTTGCCTGGCGTGCACACCGCCCGGAGGAAGCCCCAGAGAGAATCTGACCACAAGTTTATACTCCTTTGTTTGACTTTGCTTCCTACTCCCCACCTCCCCCCCGCCACCTCTCTAGAGCACTTGATGGCCTGGGAGGCTGTCAGGAATCTCACTGAGAATGGATACCAGGCCCTGGGAAGTGTTATGAAGTCCTTGGTGTTGGAATGGTGACAGTCGTCCATTCTCTGGTTTATTCAGTCAGCACTGAGGATGTCACGGGAAGCGAAAACAGACAGAGCCTTCAAGAGCAAACACTCCAAAGGGGATGGTGGACATGAATAAAGGAGTCTCACAGAAACAAGATGTGTCCCTACAAACTAATGGAAGTCCTCTGAGGGGGAGGAACTTGGCTCTGTGAGAGGCAGACGAAGGACACTGGGCATGGGTGGACTGGCTTCCCTGAGAAGGGGACCTGGGTTGACCCTGAAGGACAGTAGGAGGTTACTAGTTTACAAGCGCATCATGGGGCGAGCCTTCCAGGTAGAGCAGGGCAAGTACCAAGAAGGGAGAGAGCACGGGACACATCTGAGGGATGGAATGGAAGATGGGAGGCCCACAAAGTGTGTTGGGAACATGGTGACAGATGAGCTGGAGAGGCCAGCGGGGCCAGACCATACAGGGCCCTAGGCCAAAATCTTAAGGGTTTTGGTCTCTATCCTAGGATGAATGGGAAACCACTGGCGTGGGAGCGAGGGTGGCAAGGGTGAAAGAGACCTGTTCAACTTGTATGTCGGTCTGATCATTCTGGCCACTGGGTAAAGAATGGGTCACAGGGGATGGGGTGGGAAGGAGTAGATTCAAGAGGCCAGTTAAGAGCTGTGGTCCACGCAGAGACGGCAGCGGCTGGGACAAGGATGCTGGTGGCAGAGAAGGAAAGGCGTGGATGGAAGCCAGAGCTTTTCCAGAAATAGGTCTTGGTCTTTGGTGCGGGTGGGGGGGGGGGTGGTATCAGGCATGGCTCGGGCTTTTGGCCTGCACCCCTGGAGGGGTGGTGGTTCCCTTCACTTTGGTATCTTGTGTGGAAGGTGCTTCTCTCCCCTTACACCCCAAGTGTTGGCCGTAGTGGGTTGATGCACTGAAGTCAGAGAAGGAGGGATTTGGTGAGCTATTCCAGTCCTCTGACTTTGCCGGGGAAGCATCCACAGCTCAGAGATTACAGGAACAACAAAGGGATGGGGTCAGAGCCCACATCCCTGGACTCGCCTCCGGAGCTAGGAGAGCCCTGTCCTTGGGGAGAACGCTAGGTGGACGCGAGCTTGCTCGGGCTCTGACCCTGGCTGTGCTCCCACCTGCTGAGTGAGTCCGGGAAGGCCACATGTCTTCCACCTCAGTTTCTCTACTGTGACACAGAAAGAAATGGGATTACTTGTCCTTGTCTTCTCAGAGGTGGGTGAGAGTCATCGTGGGTCACCTTCGTGAAGATGGTGAGACTGATGCTCTGACCACCCTTGGGGGCTGAAGTGGGAGAACCGAGTGCGAGAGGGATGGGGGGACCTCTCCGCTCTTCCTGCCTTCCTGTCTCTTGCAGACCCTGAAGGCTGAGGAGCCAGCGAGATGCCCGGTCTGCTGAACCAACTCACAGGGGCAGCCCTGCCCCTCACCGCATCCGATGTCACCTCCTTTGTCAGTGGTTACGCCCTGGGTCTCACGGCCTCCCTCACCTATGGCAACCTAGAAGCCCAGCCCTTCCAGGGTAAGGACGCCACCCCCTCCCCCACGTTGAATCCCCATCCTAACAAGTATTAACCGATAGACATCGGGCAAGTCATGTCACCTCTCTGAGTCTCAGTTTCCTTACATGCAAAATAGGAATCCCATTTCCGCCCTGCAGGTCTTAAAGCTGATAGCAAGTTGGGTCAGGATTTGAACCCAGGTTTGGTCTCAGCCCCAGCCAACAGTCCCAACCCTGCATATGTTCCAGAAGACACGCCCACTTCACAGTAAGAGAGGTGTCCAGACTCAGTGGAAGCCAGGAGCTTCCGGTCCTAGGCGTGGCTGTTGTCCCCGTGACCTTGGGGCAGCCACTGTCCCCCTCGACATCAGGATGCTCCTGTGACTGTCTGGACGCCCGGGCTTGCCAGAGGAGCAGATGAGGTAATGCGTGAGGAAGGACAGCGTGGAATGAAAAACAGTCTGCAAATATGAATCATCAGAGCAGGCAGTCAGGAGTGCAGACGGACATTCGCCTACAACAGTCGTTTGTAAATCACACGACTCTCCTTGCACTTAAGGAAAGGGGTTATAGGAAGGCTGGCCAGGAGGGTTCTGTTTAAAAGCTTCTTATGGTTGGGATCCTGTCTCATGCACAGTGATGGGGGCCTCCTGACCCCCAGACTTCATGTCCCAGGGCACCACCCTGCAGCCTGATCTGAGCTTCTAAAACCATTTTAGTTCCCAAGAGGAACTTGCAGGGGAAAGTTTCCTCCCCGCAGAAATCTGGGCAGAGCAAATGACTCTGTTTCACTGTGTAAGGAAACCTAGAGAAGGTGGCTTAAAGTGGGATCCATGGAGACTAAATCACTGAACAGCTTTAGGACAATCTTTTGGCTTTCCGTGTACAGAAAGAACCAGTCCTCCCATTTTATAGATGAGGAAACTGAGGCTCAGAGGGATGGGAAGCTGGAGTTTGGGGCGAGCTCACCATATTAAAGTTTGAGAAGCACTGAGATATCAAAATGTAGGACACACACCATGGGGGACATCGTGGTGGCCATTATTTTCATTTTCATGACGACCCTGAGTTTGTCTCTATTATCCGCATCCTACAGATGAGGCTGTGAGGCTTAGAAATGCTAAATATCTAATCCAAGGTCACTGGGCTGGGGAAGGGGGCAGGGCCAGGATTAGAAACCGATCCTAGTCTTATTCCTCCAAAGCCCCAGGTCACGGGCGCCAAGGGTGGCAAACCACCACAGAGATGTCTGAATACATCCACACCACAGGTCACATGAAAATCCAGATTTCCACTCTGTCTTGAAAAATTGGAAGCCCTGGCCATGCCGGCCTCCCAGGCCTACAGAGTAAGCGTTGGCTGGGACAGGGGAGCAGCTCTCCCACAGCTCCACAGAGCCTGCCTTCTGTCCTTATCCTGCCCAGCCCCGGGGCCATGAGCAGGCCGTCTGTCCATCTGAAATACCAAAGGCTTGGGTTCCTTCCCAGGGGTGGGGCCTGCAGAGGGGGCTGCGGCATCCTGCGATGCTGGGCCCTGCTCTGACAGGCCTCTTTGTATACCCACTGGATGAGTACACCACGGTGATCGGCTTTGAGGCGGTCATTGCTGACCGTGTCGTGACAGTACAGATCAAGGACAAAGCCAAGATGGAGAGCGGCCACTTTGATGCCACCCGAATCCGAGCGGCAACTGTCACAGGTAAGGCCAGCGGGGCTTGGCAGGGCCTGGGCATGGCTGGGCTCTCAGGTGGACTAAAAGGGCAGCCGTGGGACAGGTAAGAGACAGGAATCCTGTGTGACTGCAGGCCAGTAACTAACCTCTCTGAACCTCACCTTACTGTCTGTACAATAGAGATGGTTGTTTCTCTTCTCACCTGGAAAGAGTGGCAAAGATCAAAGGAGGCAAGAGAAGAGTTTTTAAGATATCTCTAAAGAACAGAATAGCATGTCATTTGAGCTCAGAGGCTGTGGAATGAGTCACACCAGGGTTTGACTCCCAATCCTGTTGCTTGCAAGCCGTGTGAGATAAGAACTTAAACCTCATCTGTGAAATGTTACTATTAATCATGCACATCCGCATCTCAGCAAAGAGCATTCAGGCCGAACACTCATCATAGTCCCCAGTATGGAGTAAGTACTCGAAGCATGGCCACTGATATCTGCTGTTGCGGATACAGAGGCTCAGAGAGGGTGAGTGATTGGCGGAAGGTCACACAGCATGTTAGTGGCAGAGCCAGGGCTTGAATCCAGGCCAAATATCATGTAAGAGAGTCTTACCATTGGATCTGTGATAGAGGTGAAGTTTCTTCATCTGAACATCAAGAAGTTCAAGAATCTCTCAGTGAACGCTTATGATGTGAAAGATGCGAAGTTGCCCCCAAGATTTTAGGACTTCTCTTAGCCTGAAAGAATAGCTAGGACATGCCTAGGAGCGACCATGAGAGGAGGCTGAAAGTACCAAAAGTGGTCCAGATAACGACAGTGGAGGGAAAGAGGGATCCATATGGGACCAGGGAGGCTTTTGTGGAGGGTTGGATGGGGGTTAAGAAGGACTAAGAAGGAATGAGGGATGGGCCTTTCAGATGAGAAGAGAGAGCATGGATCCTGGATGCAGGGATGCTTGAAGTAGAGTCTGCAGATGGAGATGTGACCCTCTGTGGGGCCTTGTGGGTCCCAGTCTCCCACTCCCAGTAAGGCACAGTGGAAACTACACAGGCCTGGCATCAGTCCCACAGAGGTTCAGATCCTGGCTCAACGAATCAGTTATTTGCTGCCTAACCTTGAGCAAGTTGCATCTCCACGCTGAGCCTGTTTTCCCATCGGCAAAACAGGCTCTCAAACCTCACACACAGCATGCTTAGAGGGGATGAGCCATTATGCAGGCACAGCCCCTGACTCCAGGCCTGGCACTTAGGAAACATTCTCCAAGAGGGAGTTTCAATCATTCCTCATTCCTGCACACCAGGAAAGGTGGCTTTGGACGAGGATTTGGAGCGGACCCTGTTCGTGGTCAACCTGGGGACCATCGCTCCTATGGAGAACGTCACCATCTTTGTCAGCACCTCCTCGGAGCTCCCGACACTGCCCAGCGGGGCCGTGCGGGTTCTGCTGCCTGCTGTCTGTGCCCCGATGGTGCCCCAGTTCTGCACTGAGAGCACCAGCCTCTCCAGCCAGCAGGCCCAAGGGTAAGGAGCCCCTGCCCGGACAAGAGCCCTGGGTGAGCAGCACAGGGAAGTCAGGGGTGTGCGGGGCGGGGCAGGTGAGGAATAAAGGCGAGACTGAGTTTTTAGTGGCCGTCTCAAACTGTGCCTGCTCATTTTTAGAGCACTTAATGATCTCTCTGAAATGCCCTGTGTTGGTATCAATCAGAAGTGCTGGGATTTGGAGAGCTGAGGATCAGAATTTCCAGGCTTGAGTCTTTAATGCACTCAAGAGGTGTTTTTGGAGTGCCTACTATGTGCTAGACACTGCAGTGGGTGTTAGGGACACAGGACCCAAGACCCACGTGGTTCCTGCCTTTTCGGAACTTGATGGGAAATATCATTAGCCAACTGAATTTGCATGCATGATTAATTATGTGAAAAGTGCAATGAAGGAGAAGTTCATTGGCTAAGAGTATAAAAGAGGGACCCAACCAGGGGGATCCAGAGGCCAGGCCAGGCTTTTCTGAGGAGTGACATTTCAGCTGAGGGCTGAGCCATGGCAGGATAGATTGGGGTGGGTGCAGTTTTTAGCTAAGATA